TTGTTTCCTTTGGCTTTGGAGTGTGGATACCAAATTTGGTTGCTCTAGCTTTTATAGTCTCTGAGATCTAGGCGCTAATGTTTTACTCTAAGCAAAGCCGCCTATGCTACGTGTGTGTTAGAGAGAGACAGTGCGAGAAAAAATGAAATTGTTTTCTTGATGCTGGCTATAATAATAATATGATCCAATTCAGATTCTGCAGTCTATAACATATGGTCATCCTCTACGGTTCAACGTTTTTGGTTGTATCGTATCTTTAAAAATGTGGATGCCACAGATTTTCGTCCTATGTGGGGGCGGAAGTGGGCGGGGCGAAGTTTTGAAATATTTTTGTAGCAGTGACATATCACAGAAGTCTGGATCCAAAACATCGTTGCTCTAGCTCTTATAGTCTTTTAGCACTAGGCGCTGAAGGGGACGGACAGACGGACGGACAGACGAACAGAGGGACAGACAGACAGACAGACATGGTTCAATCGACTCGGCTATTGATGCTGATCAAGAATATATATACTTTATGGGGTCGGAAACGATTCCTTCTGGACGTTACACACATCCATTTTCACCACAAATCTAATATACCCCAATACTCATTTTAAGTATCGGGTATAAAAACCCTCAAAATCTAACTCAAAGCACAAAAGGTCATCGACGCAACCAAATTTCTCAAACTCAAAGACGACTTGCTTCAAGAAACCGGACTTATAATCTTCAAAGATTAAAAGTAAAAGTTCGCCCCCAAACACTACGCCCCCTCAAATACAATAATTGCCAGAAATTTGGTCACCCAACTAAATACTGCACAACCACCAAAATCTGCAAAAACTGCTCTGAAGTGCACCCCGCTGAGGACGATTTATGCTCCAAGCCAAAATTCTGGAGCAACTGCAAACACAACACCAACAAAATAACCACAGCCTACTAGACCCCAAATGCTCTGAATTCCTCAAGCAAAAAGAGAAAGCCATAATCAAATCTCCCGAGAATGTGGACTTCATAACTGGAAAAAAAATATATTTTCAGCTCAACACACACCAATCCACAGCATACGCCGACATAGCTGCATATCATCAACAACCAAAACCACAAACCGCAGTAGTATCGATCCCGAACCATCCTTTATTATCACACAACACTCAGAACACACAGAAAAAAAGGCTAACTACTAACTACGCAGACATCTCAGACTCAAACACCTAACCAAACCAACCCAGCAACCCACCCAAAAAGAAATGGCTATGAACACAGACTTCGAGGAAATTACGAAAACCATAAACTACAAAATTATCCCAGATACTGACCGAAAGCTCCGTAGCCAAACTAAAGATAAGGATAAACTTAACCTAGTTACCAAGCCACTCAAGGCTAAAGATAAGTCGGAAAAAACAAAAACTGCAAGCCTAGCTTCATTATCCAGCTACACTCTTACTAACCTAATACAGCGAAGAAGAACTCTAAATAATAGTAATGGTATAAATATTAATTTCAAGCCTCTTTAAGTAAATACAAACACTACTATGCAACTTAAAATAATCCAATGGAACATGCACTGCTACAAAAAAAAAACTACATAGAACTGCAAAGACTTATGAAATAATACAACCGCGTAATTGTACTCCTACAAGAAACCCACATATCCAACCCCAACTCTCTCCCTATCCCAACCAACTATTCACTATACTGCAGCAGTAACCACATTAATGCATTTGGAGGCACAGCCATCCTCATTCACAACTCCACACCAAAATTCCTCTCAACTCCGACTTTGACGCAGTAGGTGTCAACATCAAATCCAAAGTCAACATCATATCCTCCTACATCTCTCCAAAAATACACTTCTACGCCCGCAACCTAATAGACTTTAATGGAACCCCTACTGGGGCTCACCTAAGGCCAATCTAAGAGGGAAAACCTTAGCATCTTTTCTAGACCATTCCAATTATATTCTCTTAAACGAAAAATCCGCCGCGCACTTCTAAACACATAAAACATTCACCTAAATTCACCCAGAGCTCCTCTGGGAAGTAATAGACGACGTCCACGGTAGCGACCACTTCCCCATACTAATCTCTCTTTACAACAACCCATCCCTCCCAAAATTTATCTCAAAATAGTTGTTGCAGCAGACTATCTTAATTACCCTACCTTAGCGTGTGCGATGTTGTGATCAGAGCTTTCGCTTTCACACGCCGCGCTCTTTTACTGCTCTCTGAGCATGCAAGATCGGCTCGGCGTTGGAGTCGGGGAGTTATTGTTATCTCTGGCTGCGACCAGTCGAATAAATGCTTTGAAGTCGAGCACTTATTTTATTTCTTCAAAAATTACCTGACAATTTAAAGTAAAAGTCGCAACTATAGCCCGCTGGACCGGAGTCATCATAAAGTTTAACTTGGAAAAATTCTTCCGAATTTTCAACAGTCCTTCAAACTAAAAAGTGCCGACTGGGATCTTTACCAAAAACACACCCATAAATTCAACTCCACTACCCAAACAAGCGACAACGTTAAAAGGGAAAACGAACTAATTAAAAAAATCATAATCCAAAGCACCCATCTTCCATCCCTCAAAACACCACTTTCTCCCTACCCCGTACCGTTCCCTGGTAGAACAAAGAGCTAACAGTCCTTAAAAGAGAAAAAGTCACTAAATGGAATAAACTCAAACTCTATACCACCAACATAGAATACAAACGAGGGGGAACGTTGTGAGTTGCTGCGGACACCGCAACTCTACAGTTATACCCGATACTAAGTCAGTATGGCTCTCCTCCGGCAGATGCCGCTAATATTAAAAGACACGACAAAGAGTGCGTGCGAGAGAGACAGAAAATCAGTCTGAGCGTGACGTCGGGCGCTGCGTAGCCAGTGCAAATTGATTTCTTGCTTTTTACTATAAAAATGATCCGATCTGATCCGGATTCAGCAACCGGATAGATATGGTCTTTATCTATGATTCTGCGTTTTTAGTTTTCTCGTATCCTCAATATTGTGTATGCAACAGATTTTCGTCCTTTGTGTGGGCGGAAGGGGGTGGGGCGAAATTCTGAGATATACGTTTTATAGTGAGATCTAAGAAGTGCGGATACCAAATTTGGTTACTCTAGCCTTAATAGTCTCTGAGATTTGTGGATGCCCCAGATTTTGGTCCTTTGCGGGGGCGGAAGGGGGTGTGGCGAAATTTGGACACGAAACGGTCAAGGTCCGATATCACAGGAGTGTGGATACCAAATTTGGTTGCTCTGGCTCTAATAGGTTCTGAGATCCTTGAACTCATATTTTACAATTGGCACAACCGACAATGAAACCTGTGTGTTAGAGAGAGACAGAGCGAGAAAGAATAAAATTGTTTTCTTGATTCTGGCTATAATAATTGTGATGGACCTATTTCAGGCTGAGGTAAGCTCAGCCACGTCCAGGGGTCTGTTCACAAGAAATTTGTAGAAATGTGTTGGAACCTTAAGGGCGGCGTCGGAGGGCGGCCTGTCGTAGAGAGGTAGATTGGGGCTCGGGCGGGCGTTGCTACCGTTGTGTATATGAAACGACCGTGTGGACTCGGGGTGGGGTGACGTCGGTGTCTCGGCTGATTGGGGTGAACTTACGCAATCGGTTGTTTTTACTTTGCAAATTTGACACTTTATCGTATTTCTTAGCGGTTTAAATGACTTATTTTTAATTGGGCGTCGATGTCTTCTGGCGGGTTCCGGGTACCGCGTCTGTACTCCGGGCTGGGTCTCTGCGTAAGTTTTGGTACGACGACCGTACTGTGAGCCGGATCTCTGCATAAGTTTTGGTACAACGACCGTACCGTGAGCCGGATCTCTGCGTAAGTTGCTTTCTGGTTTCCAGTCGGCGTCTATTTATACGCCAACGGGCGCTGTGTCAGCGGGTTCGGAAGTGCACTTCCGCGTCGGGGTGCACTTCGCCGTTCTGGCGATCGCGGGTTGACCTAGTTCTGCCTCTTCCTGTTTTTGGCGAGCTGGCGGGTTTGCCGTTGGGGGCTCGTCGTGGGCTTCCGCGGTGTCATCGTTTTGTAGTGGTGGTAGAGTGGTGGAAGTCAGCGTGACCTGGTGTTGGGTCAGCGTGAGAGTGCACTGATTGATGGGAGCCAGGGTTGCGGCTATTTAAGCCGTTTCTGCGGGGTCCGAATTCGCGGAGCAAGCTTTTCTTCTCTCTTCCGTGTTGCGCCGGGGGTACGTTTTGGGGTCGCCGCTGACTTGCGATCATCTCGTCCCTTGCCTCGTTCGCGGGTCTGTTTACTTCGTTGTCAAGGGGTTTGTTGCGCTCGCGTTGTTGTTGGCGTGGCGCCGCCGGTCGGTGTTTCGCTGACGTTGTTTCTCTTGACCAGGTGTCCCGGGTTCTGCCGACTCTGCGGTGCCGCGGTCGGGGCGTCGGGTTGCTGTTTCATTGGTTTCTTCCGCGATGTCAGCATTCCTGTGTAGGCCAGTGGGCTCGTCGGGCTCGTGGTCGTGGAACTCTCTCAGGTCGTTGATATTCGCGGTCTTCCGTTTCCGGCGTTCGCAATGTTGTAATTGGGCGATGTTTGGCGATGGAAAACTGTTGACTCGGTAGGGGCCGTCGAACTTCGGAGCTAACTTTGCCGCGAAGCCCTCGGCGGCGTTTGAGAGGTGGTGTTGGCGTAGTAGTACCAATGATCCGATGGCGGGGCGCCATAGTCGACGGCGGAGGTTGTAATGTCTCCCTTGCTCTTGGCTGGCTCTCTGGATGTTGTTTCGGACGATGGCGAATACTTCTTTTAGTCTCGTCGCTTTGCTGCTGGCCGTCTCTTATGTACTCCCTGTCCCGGGCGTGACTTCCTCGTAAAGGGTGCCGGGGAGTCGGGGTTCTCTTCCCTGCAGGAGGAAAGCGGGGCTGAATCCGGTCGTCTCGGAGACGCTGGAGTTGATCGCCAATGTCATCTCGGGTAGGAGTTCGTCCCACGTGTTCTGGTGGTCGTCGACGAACTGTGCGATCATCGTTTTCACAGTCCGATTGGCTCTCTCCGTCGGGTTTTCTTGGGGGCAATACGGGGCTGTGTGTTGTAGGTCCACGCCTGCGGTTCGCAGGAATGTTTTAAACGATCGGCTGGTGAACTGGGTTCCGTTGTCGCACACGAATAGTTTCGGCACGCCGAAGCTGCTCAGTATTCGTTCTCTGAAGGCTCGTTCGAGGTTTGCTGTTGTCGCTTTCTTGAGGGGTACCAGTTCGACCGACTTGGAGAAATTGACGAAGAATACCAGTAAGATGGTGTTCCCGTGCTTGGACCGTGGTAATGGTCCGACGAAATCGGCACACAGGGTGGCGAAGGGTTCTTCGGCTTTGCGCGTGAGCATCCTGCCCACGGCCTTGCGCTGTGTGGCCTTGAGCTTCTGGCAGCTTATGCAGCCCTGCACGTACCGTAGTACGTCTCGGTGTAGTCCTGGCCAGTAATATCATCGCGTTGTCCTCAGGATGGTTTTCCGGACGCCGAGGTGTCCTGCTGTTGGTTCGTCATGGCATTCGCGGAGTAGTCTCGTTCGGCCGTTTTTAGGCACGCATAGTTTCCACGGTATGTGGTCGTCGTCGTCGGCTCCGTGTCCTAGATAGCGGTATAGCTGCCCGTTTTCGTGCGTGTAGTCCGGGTATTTCTGGGGTTCGTCTTGGACTTGCTGGATCCTTTGTTTAAGCCAGGTGCATGCTGTGTTGTCTTCCTCCTCGATGCGGGAGAGGGTCTCCAATGGTTGTCTTGACAGTGCGTCAGCGACTACGTTCTGGTTGCCGGCCCGATAGTGCACGTCGTATTGGTATTGCTGTAGTTCGAGCGCCCATCTTGCTACTCTACCGTAAGCGCTCTCGAGGGTATTTAGCCACTTTAGTGCAAGATGATCGGTTATGACATCGAATCGGTAGCCTTCGAGATAGCATCGCAGTTTTCGGATCGCTCAGATGACGGCGAGGCATTCCTTGTCGGTGGCCGAGTAGTTTTCTTCTGCCTTGTTGAGGCGTCGACTGACGTATGCGATGACCCGCTCTTTCCCTTCGATCTCTTGGGTGAGGACCGCGCCTACTCCAAGGTTGCTTGCGTCCGTCTGCAGGGAAAATTTGACGTTTGAGCAGTCAGCTCGTCGAAGGCGTCTTGTTGTTCTTGGCCCCATGTCCATGCTTTCCCTTTCTTCAGCAGCAGTGACATTGGTTGGACCACGGTGGCGAAGTTTGGGACAAATCTGCGGTACCAACCGGCCATGCCTACGCATTGTCGTAGCTCCTTCAGGTTGGTCGGCGGCCTCAGATCCTTTACGGCTGCGATTTTGTCGGGGTCCGTGTGGATACCTTCTTCGCTGATCATGTGGCCCAAGTATTTTATCCGGCGTTGGAAGAAGGCGCACTTGTCCGTGTTGATCCGTAGGTTTGCCTTTCGCAGTCGTGCGAAGACTTCTTTTACGTTGTTCAGGTGTTCCTGGAAGCTTTTCCCGACGATGACGATGTCGTCGAGATATGCGAACGCGAACGGTTCCATGTCTGCGCCGATAACGGCGTCGAGGGTCCGTTGAAACGTGGCTCCCGCGGAATGTAAACCGAAGGGCATTACTTTCCATTGGTATAGCCCTCTGCCGGGTATCGTGAATGCCGTAGCTTCCCGGCTGTCGCGGGCCATTGGTATCTGCCAGTACCCGTTTTTCAGGTCCAGGGTCGTGATGAAGTGGGCATTTCGGAGTCGCTCTAGTATGTAGTTGATCCTGGGTAGCGGGTACGCGTCCGGGATAGAACGCTCGTTGAGCTGCCGATAATCTACACACATGCGCCATCTCCCGTCCTTTTTGCGGACCAGGACGATTGGCGCACTGTGGGGGCTCCGGGATGGTTCGATTAGGTCCTCTGCTATCAGTTGGTCGACCTGTTCATCGATGATCCGCCGCATGGCTGGATTTTTCGGGTAGTACCGCTGTTTTATGGGTCGGTTGTCTCTCATGACGATGGTGTGTTCTGTTAGATCCGTCGTCCCTCGGAGGCCTGCGAGTGTCGGCAGTTCTTCGTCTAGAAATTCCTGTATTCTCGGCGCGATGTCGGGAGGCCATGGGTCGGAGATTCGTTCCGAATCGTCCTCCGGTGGTTCGTCGATTCCTGGGTCGCACGTGTAGTCGGGGTTCTCGGGGAGGATCGTTGTGTCGAATGCGCTTGGTGGTTCGACTTCGCGAGTGTATTCGCTTATGGCGGCGACGATGGCGGGTGCGCCGCTCAGGTGTGGGGTGCTCGTGTGTGTCCTGGGTGCTTGCGCGACGTTGTACTCAGCGTGATGTACGAACGTGCGGGTCTCGATTGCGGTCGTAGCGTTTGACCGACGGCTAGTTTGGGCGGTGAGGTTCACTGTCATGGCTCCAGGCGTGGTGCTGGGCCGCATGCCGGCGCCGTACGGGGTGTTGCCCGGGAGGCGTTCCATGATGTCGGTGACGATCGATGGTGTGTCGGCTCCAGTTGCGGCGGGGTTCCGATTGATGCCTCGTGCGGCGGTGATCGCCCCTCCCGGTTCCTGCCTGAGAGGACGCGGGAGTAGCGGGTCGGTCGGTGTCGTAGGGGTCGTTTTCGTGTCGAGGGCGGTGTCGACGCGTTCGTGGGCCAGGGTGGCGGTCGGAGGTGGTACCTCGAGCGCCTGGCTGCTGCGTGGCGGCTGTCGTTGCTGGGGCCGGGTTGACTTCTGGAGGGGCGTCTTGGGTTCCTTTCCCATTGTTGGTGGAACCGCGTCGGTGCCCTCGGAAGACCGGCTCGCTTTCTTCGTTACTTTGCTTGGTTTTGGGTTTCTCGGAGTGGGCCTGGGGCTGGTGTGCCTCGTTGTGGCCATGGGTTCTGTGTTCCTTGTTCCTTGTGCTCGTGTCTCGTGTCGTGGCGGGGGATTCGTTGGCGGCAGGGGTCTCAAGTTCTGGGGTCCGTGGGCGTGTACTTGGCTGGCGGTGATCATCGGAGTGTTTGGGAGGGGGCGTTGGGAGCCCTGGAGATGGAGGCGTGTGTTGCCACATTGTATTGTGGTTTCGATGGCGCACAGGAAGTTCATCCCTATGATGGCCTGCTCTAGCATGTTGGGCAGCACCAAGAGCGGCACCTGTACCTCTTGCTCGTCTAGTTCGACGCGCGCTAGCAAGATCTGAGTTATCTCGCGTTCCGAGCCGTCGGCTAGGCGTATCGGGATGCAAGCGTCGCGCAGGTCGTTGTTGTGGCCGAGTTGGCGGGCGAGGTCGGCGTTGATGAAACTTCGGGACGCCCCGGTGTCGACCGTGGCTCCCGTGCGCCGTCCTCCGATGGTCACTCTCGCCACTATCCGGCCGTCGTGTACTTGTAGCGGGTTTCTTAGTTGATTTTCTGAGGAAGCGTCATGCCCGGCTGTTCCCGTGTCAGCTGGGGACGCGAGTCGTTTCCCGACGGGTCCTGGCGGCAACGGCCCACAGTGCGTGTTCCACGCTTGCCGCGTTCCCAACAGAAAAGGATCGATGGGTTGGTGCAGTCACGAGATACATGTCCCGCGTCTCCGCAGCGTCGACAGGCTGCGTGCGGGTTGGCGATGGGGGTGCTGATCATTCGATGTGTCGCTTCCTGTGCTGAAGCGCCGGCTTGGTGCGGCTTCCTTGCGGGTTCCGAGGTGTTCCAGTGGGGCTTTCGGAATTGGGCCCGATTCGTCCCGCTTTCGTTTTGTTGTATCGTTGGCCGCGTGTACCTGGGTGGTTGGCGATAGGGGATGAGGATCGCTGGTACGTTTCGTTCCTGGATGCTCTCGAACTCTGTGGCCAACATCGTTAATTGCGTCAGACTTCTCAGTTCGTGTCTTCGCACGTACAGCTGGTACGCCGGGAGGGTGTTGTCATAGATCCGGCTAAGTTCTTTGGCTTCGTCGTACCCGGCGTGGTGCATGAGCAACCGGAGCTCGATGACGAAGTCCTTGAACGGTTCGCCCACCGCTTGTTTGCGGTCCCTGATCTGGTCTTCCAATTGCTCGAAGTACCGGGGAGGCAGGAAAAAGGCTAGGAATTCCTGACGGAAATCGGCCCATGAGGCGCTCTGGAGTCGGCTGGTGCGGAACCAACGGTTGGCTCGGTCGGTGAGGAGCTCTGCCATGGCTCGCGGCACGTAGTTCATGTCTACCCCGTACGAGAGGGCACGCTCTTCCAGTAGTTCGATGAACGACAGTGGGACGTCCTGCCCGTCGAACTGGATTCCCCACTTTCGGATCCGTTCCACCATCTGCGCGGCGTGACTGTAGTAGTGGCCGTCTGTGGGGCCATTTCCTCCTGCTGTCGGCAAGATCCTTCTCATGGGCGAAGGCCTTGACTCCGGGGGCGGGGGCTTCGGTAGATCTTCGGCGGTTATCGATGTCGGTGAGGTGCTGGCTTTGCCTTCCATGAATCCTGGAACTTGTAGGCTGAGTCTGGGGTCCGTCTTCCGCTTCTCTGTTAGTGCTGAGGTGTCGGGCTTGGGCGATCTGGCGTACTGCCGCTCGAGCTCCGCCAACCTGACCCAGGCATCGTGTTCGAGGGGCCCGGCGACTAGTTCGGCGAAACTCCTCCGCAAATCTTCCACGTTCCCCTCGCGGCTGAATCCGAATTCCTCCGCGAAGGACTGCAGCTCCTCTCGGCGACGTTTGTGTATCCAGCCGGTACTCACCCCTGGGTTGGCGACGAATTCTCCCGGGTAATACCCGCTGGCCTCTTCCTCTGTGTGGGATTCCATCGCTCCGATCGTTAATTGAGTTGGCTGTTTCGCTGGGCTTGCGCTTTTCCTTCACTAGGGCACTGTGTAGAGCTTCGCGGCTGACGCTTCGAATTTCTTCTCGGGGTGACGGCACTGTTCGCGTTTCTCTGTCGCTGTGTCGCGCTTTCGTCTGCTCGTTGCGCAACTCTCGCCGTTGATATTGCGCGAGGTCGGGGTTTTCTTTGGGTTGTTCTCTTGTGTTCTTGCTCTAGTGGCCGTGGGGTTTTATTCCACAAACCCTCGCTGACGTTCCCTTGGGTCCCTGCTCGGGCGGCACTTGTGACGGTCCTATTTCAGGCTGAGGTAAGCTCAGCCACGTCCAGGGGTCTGTTCACAAGAAATTTGTAGAAATGTGTTGGAACCTTAAGGGCGGCGTCGGAGGGCGGCCTGTCGTAGAGAGGTAGATTGGGGCTCGGGCGGGCGTTGCTACCGTTGTTACCGGGTTCGGAAGTGCACTTCCGCGTCGGGGTGCACTTCGCCGTTCTGGCGATCGCGGGTTGACCTAGTTCTGCCTCTTCCTGTTTTTGGCGAGCTGGCGGGTTTGCCGTTGGGGGCTCGTCGTGGGCTTCCGCGGTGTCATCGTTTTGTAGCCGATGAACCCGGAAGACTGCGCCTGGCTGGTTGCTTGGTCTGGAGTGGTGGAAGTCAGCGTGACCTGGTGTTGGGTCAGCGTTACGAAGACGGCGCCTGTCAATCGATGGCTATGTGTGGAGGGGGGGTGTTCGTGTAGTAAATCACTTTGGGCGAGGTGCTGTAATTTAGTAGCCGGATCTTTATTGGGTGTTGGGAGAGGCGTTGTAGCGAACCCTTTTGGGTTCGTTACAGATTATAACAATTTATTTCGCTAATACGGATTTACACTCTATTTCTTTATTCTTTGTTTATTCCCGAGCATAAGAGACGAATAAAGTATAATGTGAATGCAGCGAAACATTAATATAATTTGAACACAGTTTTTCACAAATTTGATTTTTTATACAATTGAGATTTTCTTTATTTACCACGCGCACAACACATATTATTAATTATTTTAACACTGAACTTACCTGATAATAATAACAATCACAACACGTGCGCACAATATGACGATTGCAAATAGCAAATGCAAAGCGAACAAAGAAAAAGAGTTCTGACGACGCAGGAGCAAAAGAGAAGAAAAGAAAAAACGAAGTTATCTTCTTCTGCGCACGGTCGGCAGAACCGAAGAACGTTCGGCACGCGCGGAAAAGAAAGAAACAAAAGAGCAATCAAAGGGTTTGATTTGGCTGGCTTGAACGCCTAGATGACATTGTAGATTACATTCGTCATCGCTCACTGCTGGTACTGCAGGGTTTTGTGCTGCAATGCTTAACCGAACAGACATTCTACATACCCCGGCCTTTCGGATACATTTTACATTCACTTTTTTTTAATTTACAACGTTTATAAGCTAACAAACTCAGAAAAGACCACAATGATTAGCTAACCTTAAAGCTGTGCACATTTTTAACGGATTGCTCTATGGGAGAATGCTATAGTTGGGATTCGAACATGTTCCTACTCTTTTTTTATACCCAATACTCAAAATGAGTAAACTAAAGTTCTTCTTTGGACTAATGCGAACCTTTGCAATCGTTATCAGCGTGTGTGCTCCCAATCTTCTCTTTCTAAACCAGTTTTTGTCTCTTCGGGTGTGCCGCAAGGTAGCCAACTCGCGCCCTATATACCTATATAACCTCTTAACCAACGATCTTCCCCAAGTTTTAACTAATTCACGAGTCCTAATGTACGCTGATGATGTCAAGCTTGTTTTTCCTACTGCGACCCGGTGTCACCGTTATTTCTTTAATTGGATCTCGACGCTCTCAACAATTGGTGTATTATTAATGCTCTTCCTCTTAACATTTCTAAATGTAACGTCATGACCTTCATTCGCAACAAGCGTTACCTTTTTGATTTCACAATTAACAAGATTTCCTTGGAACGCCTGTACAAAGTTAATGACTTAGGCATTATTTTCGTACCTAACTTATGTTTTAATCCGATATATCCGCTATTTCACACAAAGCCAAAGGAGTCCTTGGTTTTATCAAAATATGGTCGAAGGAATTCTCTGAACCCTATAAGTACTACTAAACTACTCTACATTTCTCTTGTAAACGTTTCACGGTCGGCTTTGTCTATCGCAAAAAAGTGCGTAGATCTCAGAGACTACAAGAGCATGAGCAACTAAATTTGGTATCCACACTCCTGTGATACCGAACCTGCAAAAGTATATTTCAAAATTTTGCCCCACTCCTTTCCGCCCCCGCAAAAGACGAAAATGTGTGGCATCCACAGATCTCAGAGCCTATTAAGGCTAGAGCAACAAAATTTGGTATCTACACTCCTGTTTGATCTAACTGCTACATGTGCATTTCCAAATTTCGCCCCATCCCCTTCCACCCCTACAAAGTACGGAAATCTGTGGCATCCACAACATTAAAGATACGAGAAAACTAAAGACGCACAATCAAACTACCGTTTTATCTCCAATTTATCTTCCATTTTTGAACTCTTCGAAAAATTATTACTTCTCAGCTTCAACACTTTTGTAGTTTTCTGTTATCAGAATCACAGTACGGATTTGTAAAACGTCGGTAAATTTCGTCTAACCTCCTTGAAATTTCGTGCCCACCGTAGATTATACAAATTTATTTCGATAATACGGATTTATATTTTCCTCCTATGTAACTGCCAGATTTGCAAAGCAATGTCAAACTGGCGCAGTTTATACTGATTTTAGTAAATTTTTTGACTCAGTTAATCACAATCTCCTCATCCACAAACTATCTCTACTAGGATTTCCGACTAAATTTCTTCTCTGGAGTAATGCGTACCTTTGCAACCGTTCTCAGCGTGTCTGCTTCCAATCTTCTCTTTCTAAACCATCTCTCTTTCTAGCCATCTCAGTCCCTTAATATTAAACCACTTTATCAATGATCTTCCCTAAGTTTTACCTAATTCTCGAGTCCTAATGAATGCTGATGATGTCAAGCTATGTTTTTGATACAGCGATCCTGTGACCCCGTTATTTCTTCAATCGAATCTCGACGCTCTCAAAAATTGGTGTCATGACCTTCCATCGCAAGAAGTCTTACCTTTTTGACTTCACAATTAATAAAATTTCCTTGGAACTCCGGTACTCCGGGGACTTAGGTATTATCTTCGTACCTAACTCATGTTTTAATTCTCATATATCCGCTATTTCAAATTAAGCCAAAGGAGTCCTTGGCTTTATCAAAATATGGTCGAAGGAATTCTCTGAATCCTATACTAGTAAACTACTCTACGTTTCTCTTGTACACGTTTCGTGGTCGGCTTTGCCTATCGCAAAAAGCGCCTAGATCTCAGAGACTACATGAGCATGAGCAACTAAATTTGGTATCCACACTCCTGTGAATTTCAACCTGAACAAGTGTTTTTCAAATTTTCGCCCCACTCCTTTCCGCCCCCGCAGAGGGCTAAAATCTTTGGCATCCACAAATCGCAAAGACTATTAGAGCTAGAGCAATCAAATTTTGTCTCCATACATCTGTTAGATCTAACTGTTATAAGTGTATTTCAAATTTCCGGCCCAGCCCCTTCCGCTCCACAAAAGAAGAAAATCTGTAGCATCCTTAACATTGCAGATACGAGAAAACTAAAAACGCACAATTATAAAGAATGACTATATCTACCAGATGGCCGAATCTGGATCAGATCGGATCATTCTTATAGCCAAAAGTAACAAATCAATTTGCAGTGGCTGGCTACGCAGCGATTGACGACATGTTCAGTCATGTTTTCTGTTTCACCCGCACTCTTTGTAGTTCAATGTAGCCATACTAACTATGTATCGGGTATAAATGTAGAGTTGCGGTCGCAGCAGCAACTCAACGTTCCCCCTCGTTTTAGTCCATGGATCAAGCCAATAAAAATAAAAAATACTTACCTATTATCGAATCTTGAGTAAATACAAATGATCCCATGAGGAAAATAAAAACTCCTACAAAATAAACTGATGACATTATTACGACATAGGCATCAAATCCGGCTATTTTATATTGCTCGGGACACTCGGTTTTTGGTGGGGCTTTCGGGCAAGATAATTCACAGTCACTGCACGAGCAAGCAGGTAATAAGCTCTAGAAAGAAATTATAAAATATACTAATTATATTTTTTCATTATTATTATATAAAGCTAATAAATAGTTAAAACTAGGTATTAACAAGGTATAGGGCTATAGCTACTGAGGTCTTAAGCTCGCTATGGTATTATTATACACTTGAGTATGTATGAACTTATATACATATGTACAGGGTTGGTTTTATACGATATTGCGTTGGAGGATGTTTTATCCATGTAGTGGGCATTGGTGGATCTTGTGTGCCCTAGTCTCAGTCTGTTTACGATGACTTGGTGTCTTCTGTTAAGGTTGTTTAGGTTTTTGGAGAGAGGATGAGTGGAAGATAGATTGATAACTTTTTGGTGACAGGGGGATGTCTTAGTGAGGAGGTTTGTTTGTTTCGATAGGAGGATTTTCATAAGGAATAGTGAGATGTCGTTAGAATTATGATTGGGGGTATATATGAGGGGTTGTTTGAAGGTAGTTTTGGCTGCGGTGTCAGCAATTTCGTTCCCTTTTATGCCAATGTGACTAGGTATCCAGATAATTGTTATTTTTGGGAATAGTTTGGTGACGAGGTTACGGATTGTGGTGGGGTAGTACGAGGAATTGTTGGGATTGGTAATTGCGGAAATAGAGGAGAGTGAATCTGTGCAGATAGCGTATCTTCCGCGTTTGTTGCGGATTAATAAAATGGCTTCGTGGATAGCTATAATTTACTGTACTGTGGAAGTAGTCCGGATTTTCTGGTTGATGTCTCACTGCAGATCCTAGCTAGTAATGCCTGCTGCTTTGGACCCGTCTGTGTATAGGAAGGTGTGTTGGTGGAGTTCGGATTTGATGGTGTGGAAGAGTTGGTGGAAGACTATTGGGGGGGTGGTGTTTTTATCGTGTTTGGATAGGGTGATGTTGGTTGATTTAAGGATGTTGTCATGTTGAATTTATTGGTGTTGGAGGTTTTAATCAGGGAGAACGGTATGAGGTTGTTCTGGGAAATTTGTTTGGCTCTGTCAATATTGCTTAGCAGTCTGTGTTTTTTTAGGTTTTTTGGGAGTGGGTTTAGGGGGGTGTCTTTAGCGTGGATGAGGTTTTTGAATATTTTGCCTGTTAGAAAATCTCGCTTGTTTTCCAAGGTGTGTATGTTGGCTTCGGATAGAAGGTTGTTAGTGAATGTGGTGCGGAATGCACCCAGGGCGGCTCTTGTTGCTGCATTAATCATAGTTTTCAGGCGGTTAAGCCGGCTTTTTGGTGCGTAACCGTATATGGGGAGGCAGAAGTCTACTCTGGATATGATTAGCGATTTCATAATTTGTACAAGTGTTGAGGTGTGACAGTTGTATTTTAAGGACGAGAGGTGTTTGATAATGCCCAGTGACTTGGGAAGGTCTATTTTGAGTTTATTGATGTGCGAATTCCAGTTGTATCTGGAGTTGAGTGTGAGGCCTAGTAGTCTAAGTGAGCTGTTTTGGTTGATGGATGTGTTGCCAGTAAGGAATTTTGGTTTGCAGTTATGTTTGCGACATATGTGTAGGAGTTGACTTTTGTCTTTGGAGAGGTCTGCTCCTGACAGAGTGCACCAGTTGATTATTTGTTTTTATTGTTATTGTTGTTATTTATGAGTCGAGTATTCTGTTAAAGTGGCTTATTATTCTGATTTTAAGGTTAAAACGCACCCCGTTTTTTAACATTCAGTAGGAGATGCGGTCGTGACCCGGGGTGTTTCCTTTCAGGGAGTACAGAGAGAGAGAATTCTATAAGGTTAATTTCCTTTTCGAATTTCTAGTGCTGATGGAGTTGGGTATAGTTAATAGGGGCTGTGTGGGATTTGTTTGTACGGAATGTTGGGGAGAAATTACGATAATGAGCTTCTTCTGACCACGTGTGGGCGAAGGAGTTGGCTATTTCGGTTTGGTTGGTTGTGTTTGTTTGGGTGTGTGTTAAAGATATTGTGATTGTTTTTGACAGGGTAGAGTCCGCAAAGTCGTGTGCTGTTAGACCATGTTGTGGATGCATCTGAGTTAGGGTGTCTATATATCTGGTCTGTTGAGCTCGTGAGGTAGCTCAAAGGGGGCCTAGCTGAGGCCACCGGACGGTTCGCGGGTTGCGGATGGCGAACGGCCTACCTCGGTAGGTCAGCCGCGAATAAGCGCGCATCCCTCACGGGAGAGTACCGAAATAAGCAGTCCCGGACAGCCAGCGGGTGTTATCTGGGTAGCAGCACTGACGATGCGCTTGTGGTGCCGCCTCAATAAGTAGCTCACACACTCCCATCCATACACGATACCTACCCACATCCCAACACCCACACCCACCTCACACCGGGCCGGACTAAGTGTGTTACCGGGGGGCCCGGTATAAAACTAGCCCAGTCGCTAACGGAGGGCTCAGGGACTTGGCAGCAACCTGTTCTAATGATGCCTTACTCTCTCTAACACACAGGTTTCATTGTCGGTTGTGCCAATTGTAAAATATGAGTTCAAGGATCTCAGAACCTATTAGAGCCAGAGCAACCAAATTTGGTATCCACACTCCTGTGATATCGGACCTTGACCGTTTCGTGTCCAAATTTCGCCACACCCCCTTCCGGCCCCGCAAAGGACCAAAATCTGGGGCATCCACAAATCTCAGAGACTATTAAGGCTAGAGTAACCAAATTTGGTATCCGCACTTCTTAGATCTCACTATAAAACGTATATCTCAGAATTTCGCCCCACCCCCTTCCGCCCACACAAAGGACGAAAATCTGTTGCATACACAATATTGAGGATACGAGAAAACTAAAAACGCAGAATCATAGATAAAGACCATATCTATCCGGTTGCTGAATCCGGATCAGATCGGATCATTTTTATAGTAAAAAGCAAGAAATCAATTTGCACTGGCTACGCAGCGCCCGACGTCACGCTCAGACTGATTTTCTGTCTCTCTCGCACGCACTCTTTGTCGTGTCTTTTAATATTAGCGGCATCTGCCGGAGGAGAGCCATACTGACTTAGTATCGGGTATAACTGTAGAGTTGCGGTGTCCGCAGCAACTCACAACGTTCCCCCTCGTTTATATTCTATGTTGGTGGTATAGAGTTTGAGTTTATTCCATTTAGTGACTTTTTCTCTTTTAAGGACTGTTAGCTCTTTGTTCTACCAGGGAACGGTACGGGGTAGGGAGAAAGTGGTGTTTTGAGGGATGGAAGATGGGTGCTTTGGATTATGATTTTTTTAATTAGTTCGTTTTCCCTTTTAACGTTGTCGCTTGTTTGGGTAGTGGAGTTGAATTTATGGGTGTGTTTTTGGTAAAGATCCCAGTCGGCACTTTTTAGTTTGAAGGACTGTTGAAAATTCGGAAGAATTTTTCCAAGTTAAACTTTATGATGACTCCGGTCCAGCGGGCTATAGTTGCGACTTTTACTTTAAATTGTCAGGTAATTTTTGAAGAAATAAAATAAGTGCTCGACTTCAAAGCATTTATTCGACTGGTCGCAGCCAGAGATAACAATAACTCCCCGACTCCAACGCCGAGCCGATCTTGCATGCTCAGAGAGCAGTAAAAGAGCGCGGCGTGTGAAAGCGAAAGCTCTGATCACAACATCGCACACGCTAAGGTAGGGTAATTAAGATAGTCTGCTGCAACAACTATTTTGAGATAAATTTTGGGAGGGATGGGTTGTTGTAAAGAGAGATTAGTATGGGGAAGTGGTCGCTACCGTGGACGTCGTCTATTACTTCCCAGAGGAGCTCTGGGTGAATTTAGGTGAATGTTTTATGTGTTTAGAAGTGCGCGGCGGATTTTTCGTTTAAGAGAATATAATTGGAATGGTCTAGAAAAGATGCTAAGGTTTTCCCTCTTAGATTGGCCTTAGGTGAGCCCCAGTAGGGGTTCCATTAAAGTCTATTAGGTTGCGGGCATAGAAGTGTATGTTTGGAGAGATGTAGGAGGATATGATGTTGACTTTGGATTTGATGTTGACACCTACTGCGTCAAAGTCGGAGTTGAGAGGAATTTTGGTGTGGAGTTGTGAATGAGGATGGCTGTGCCTCCAAATGCATTAATGTGGTTACTGCTGCAGTATAGTGAATAGTTGGTTGGGATAGGGAGAGAGTTGGGGTTGGATATGTGGGTTTCTTGTAGGAGTACAATTACGCGGTTGTATTATTTCATAAGTCTTTGCAGTTCTATGTAGTTTTTTTTTTGTAGCAGGGCATGTTCCATTGGATTATTTTAAGTTGCATAGTAGTGTTTGTATTTACTTAAAGAGGCTTGAAATTAATATTTATACCATTACTATTATTTAGAGTTCTTCTTCGCTGTATTAGGTTAGTAAGAGTGTAGCTGGATAATGAAGCTAGGCTTGCAGTTTTAGTTTTTTCCGACTTATCTTTAGCCTTGAGTGGCTTGGTAACTAGGTTAAGTTTATCCTTATCTTTAGTTTGGCTACGGAGCTTTCGGTCAGTATCTGGGATAATTTTGTAGTTTATGGTTTTCGTAATTTCCTCGAAGTCTGTGTTCATAGCCATTTCTTTTTGGGTGGGTTGCTGGGTTGGTTTGGTTAGGTGTTTGAGTCTGAGATGTCTGCGTAGTTAGTAGTTAGCCTTTTTTTCTGTGTGTTCTGAGTGTTGTGTGATAATAAAGGATGGTTCGGGATCGATACTACTGCGGTTTGTGGTTTTGGTTGTTGATGATATGCAGCTATGTCGGCGTATGCTGTGGATTGGTGTGTGTTGAGCTGAAAATATATTTTTTTTCCAGTTATGAAGTCCACATTCTCGGGAGATTTGATTATGGCTTTCTCTTTTTGCTTGAGGAATTCAGAGCATTTGGGGTCTAGTAGGCTGTGGTTATTTTGTTGGTGTTGTGTTTACAGTTGCTCCAGAATTTTGGCTTGGAGCATAAATCGTCCTCAGCGGGGTGCACTTCAGAGCAGTTTTTGCAGATTTTGGTGGTTGTGCAGTATTTAGTTGGGTGACCAAATTTCTGGCAATTATTGTATTTGAGGGGGCGTAGTGTTTGGGGGCGAACTTTTAC